GGATTATCATAATGATTATGGGAATAACATTATCTATAATAATGATGATAATGATAATAGTAGTAGTAGTAGTAGTAGTAGTAGTAGTAGCAGTAGTAGCAATGCTAGCAGTAATACGAACAGAAATGATATTGATCGTAATAATAATGATAATAACAGTCGATAGAAATAACAATAATATCAATGTTATAATAATAATAATAATAATAATAATAGTAACGATGATATTGATACTACTACTACTGATAACAATGATAATTACAGTTCAAATGACGATAATGATGATTGATATAAAGAATCAATAATAGGAAAAATAATCATCACATTAATGATGATGATTATCGTAATGATAATAATGATAATATTTTTAAAAAATCATATAATGATAATGTTAATGATAATAATAATGATAATGTTAATGATATAATAAGATTAATGATAATAATAATGATTTAAATAATATAATAATAACAACACAACAACAACAACAACAGCAAAAAAACTACACAAGATAAGAATTATCACAACAGACCAATTTCGTGCTAGAGACCAGACGCGCAAACACCAAACAAGTTTATTGCCTCAGAGTGGAATCTTGCTTGACTGGATCATCTCAAAAAATAAAGAAAAAAAAATATACACTTCTCAATAAAACTTTTTTTAACAATGACTGCGACAGACGTAACCAAATTGGCATATCCATTGCTAAAAGTGGACTGTGGTGTTCAGTGCGTATATATTAATTTCATTTTCTGAAAATTAAGCTAAGAGAATGATGTTATCAGTGTAATTTAGAAAGTGAATGCAAAAGGTTTTTTCCAAATTTGTCTTATGTAGGTAATGAGCCGTTGTTGGTTAGGTTAGGTAAGGTTCCAATTGTCATTCATTGCACATGACAGGAGCAGTACATACTACTACTATAACTACTGCTGCTACTATTACTACTGCTACTACCATTACTACTACCATAACTACTGCTGCTACTATTACTACTGTTACTACCATTACTACTGCTACTACCATTACTACTGCTACTACTACTACTACTGTTACTACTACTAATACTAGTACTTCTACTATTACTACTACTACTACTACTTCTATTACTACTTTCACTATTACAACTACTAATAATAATAAAATGTATGTAGTAAAAAAAAAAATAATAATAAAAAAAAAAAAAAAAAAAAAAAAAAAAATATATATATATATATATATATATATATATAATATATATATATATATATATATATATATATATATATATATATATATATATATATAATATATATATATATATATATATATATATATATATATATATTACTCTATTACTCTATTGAGCACAGTGAAAACAGGTAAGGCTGACCTCACGCTGTCTCTCATTTTCAAAAGCGGAGGTTACAGGAAACAGTGTACTAACTTCACACATTTTATTTCACATCAACAAGACAGGACAACACTGATAAAAAAAAAAACATCTGAATTTCAACAACAGAAGACGACCGGCCGTCTTATGCTTCCGTTTAACTTAAACTTGAGTCGTCGCCGCGGCCGCTCGTTGACTCTCAGCAAAGCGGATCTGAAATATACACATACAGTGTCAATAATAAGCTTTTCGCTGGTGTGTATATATATATATATATATATATATATATATATATATATTATAATATATATATATATGTGTGTGTGTGTGTGTGTGTGTGTGTGTGTGTGTGTGTGTGTGTGTGTGTGGTGTGTGTTTATGTGTGTGTGTCTATGTTTATGTGTGCGTGTGTGTCTATACTTATGTACGTGTGTGTACATGTTTATGTGTGTGTGTGTCTATGCTTATGTGTGTGTCTATGTTTGTGTGTGTGTATCTATGTTGTTGTTTTTTGTGTGTGTCTATGTTTATGTGTGTGTATCTATGTTGTTTTTGTGTGCGTGTCTATGTTTATGTGTGTGTATCTATGTTGTTATTTTGTGTGTGTGTCTATGTTTATGTGTGTGTGTGTGTGTGTACGACATGTGCAGCTCGAAATGGAGTGCGTTATACCCTATTACCTGTTCGATATGCCATGGTTCGAGAGGATGGGGCGTCGGGAGGAGGTCGGACACTGGGTGGAAGCCGCCCACGCCCGCGGTGTACGAGAGGATGTGTGGGGTGCCGTCGGGGTGCGTGAATCTAGATAGAAAAAGAGCATTTGCAATTTTGAAGAACAGGTATTTACACACTTTGGTTTGATTGCATTTCCTACTGTTCCATTTTTTGTAACAAAAAGTACGACTAATAAGCTATTATACACTTCTAAGATCAGATACTACCTGTTACGTCAGACTTATATATGCTAATTAATACTAAATGCTTAATGCTAATACTATACTAAATGATTGATGCTAATACTATACTAAATGATTGATGCTAATACTATCCTAAATTGTTCAGGCATGCTATGTTACAAGATCAACTCACGTATACTGGCCGCTCTTAGAAGCCACCGCGCCTATCTCTTGC